CCTTTGCTTCTGATTAGTCTCTGCTGAAATCCATTCTCTGCATGACAAGCAGGGTGATATTTCTAGTGGACAGGACACCTCGAGCCTCAGCCCTGCTCACAGATCTTCAAGACAGAGGTGACAGCCTCAGCCTGCAATATACAAGGCCTCTTGAGAGCTGGCTTAACCTTCCCTAGCCACTCTGTACTTTAGTTTTTGATTCTCTGCAGACCATGCTCTGTGCTCAAATGCCTCTCTGGCAAACTCAACTTCATTTTCCACGTTTGAGCACAGGCTCCTCCCCTCTTTTCAACTTTTGCCAAGCACAGGCCTCGTTGAGCGCTTCCTCATCTGGATCCAAGCCCTCTCTTCCTGTTCTCTCACAAGAGCCATTCACTCCCTCACGGAGCCACCCGTGTTTATGGAGCTGGTGCTCCAGACAGGGTGGTCAGCTCAAGATACATGGTTCATAGCCTAACAGAAAACTGTCTGCAAGTGTTGGCCAGTCTCATGATCTCAAAGTCAACGAGCCTTGACTGACTGACTGATCACCTTCTTCTCATGCACCTCCAGGCCTTTACACCACTGTTCTCTCTTCTTTGAAGAATATCTCTAGACTGGCTTCTTCTCCTGAGTCAGATTAACTAGAGTCAATTCATTCTGGCTCCATCCCTCTCTGTCACTTGAGCTGGATTTGCCGTCTCATAATATAGGAGGAGCCCAGTCTTGTCTGATGATGGGATGGAGGTTTTAGATGGAGAAGCAGATGTAGAGAAAGGAAGGATTGGTCCAGAACATAGATGTCTTTAATTGTAGGTCCAATACTTAGAGCCATACAAGTTACAGTATGGGATGAAGGGGGCAGCTTGAAACCAGCACTGAAGTCCACAAGCAGCAGAGGACAGAGGGGAAATGAGCCAGTGCTATGGGGAAGACTGTCTGCTCCGTCAATCGAAAAGGATAACACATGCCACCAGAGCTTCAGTCTGCCTTTCTGCATCCTCTCATTTCTGAGCCCCTGGAGGATTATCATATCATAAAGAGATATTTAAAATGTAGTCATTGTTTTGGCTCTATGATAGTCTAGTTTCTTCACGAAAAAATAAAATAAAGAAGTGATGGAACCCTTATCCAGCCTGCATGAGGTCTTGAGTTTAGACCCAGCAAACATGAGGAAGGAAGAAAGGAAATAGGAAGGAGGGAAGAAGAATGGAAGGAAAAGGGAGAAAGGAAAGTAGGAAGGAAGGGAGAGAGGAAGAAGAAAAATAGGAAGGAAGAAAGAATGGCTGAGATGGCTCAGCAAGTTAAGGTGCTTGTCACCAAGTCTTATGACTGGAGTTCAGGCTCAGGGACCCACAGGCTAAAAGGAAAGATCCAACCGTAATTTCTTCCTCCTCCTCCTCCTCCTTTCTCTCCTCCTCTTCTTCCTCTTCCTCTTTTCCTTTTCTTCATTCTCCATCTTTTCCTCCTCCATCTCTTCCCCTCCTCCTCCTCCATCTCTTCTCCCTTCTTCTCCTCCTCTACCTCCTCCTCTTCTTCTTTTCCTCCTCCTCTTCCTCCTCCTCTTCTTCCTTCTCTTCCTCCTCTTCCTTCTCCTCTTCCTCCTCCTCCTTCTTCTTCTGGCTTTCTCTGTATAGACCTGCTGGCTTTGAACTCAAAGATCTACCTGACTCTGCCTCCCAAGTTCTAAGATTAAAGTCACAAAGCTTTAAAACCTCCATTTTGTAACATAAACAAATGTAATGTAAATTTTCTTTAAGAAAGAAAGAACAAAGAAACAAAGCTGGTAAGATGGCTCAGAGTATAAAAGGTGCTTATTACTAAGCCTGATTTCTTGTGTCAGACTCCCTGGGACCCAAATGGGGGGAGGAGAGAGCAACCCCTCAAAGTTGTTCTTTGACCTCCATGCTAGCATACCTATACAGACACACACAAAAATAAAGAAATAAATGCTTAAAATTAAAGAGAAATAAAATAAGCACTGCATTTAAAAATAGTTTGAAGTATTAACATTCAAAATAAAATTACCTTTGCTTTATCAGCTTCAGTCATGGATAGATTCTTATGTCTATTCTTTTATTTTTATTTTATTTTTATTTATTTATTTATTTTGGTTTTTCGAGACAGGGTTTCTCTGTGTAGCTCTGGCTGTCCTGGAACTCACTCTGTAGACCAGGCTGGCCTCAAACTCAGAAATCCACCTGTCTCTGCCTCCCAAGTGCTAGGATTAAAAGTGTGTGCCACCACTGCCTGGCAAATTCTTATGTCTAATCATGTCTGTGCCTGAACTAATTTCTAGAACTCATTAGTGTTCTTGAAAGCTACCTCTAGCTAATGGCCTGCTTTTTCTGTACTTTTGCATAATTTAAATATTTTTACTACATATAATATTTTTACTACATATAATTGAATTATTTAATTAAATTACTTTTTAATTTTTGAGGCAGGATCTCACGTATACGAGGCTTGCCTCCAAGTCCTTGTTGTCAAAGACAGCCTTGAACTCCTAGTCCTCCTGCCTCCATGGAGACTTCATGCATGTACTACCACGCCTGGGTTTATGTGGCATGCTATGGCTCCATCTCTGCCCTGAAAATGACTTTAAAATAAATAAATAAATAAATAAATAAATAAATAAATAAATAAAGGTGGGGCAGTGGTGGCGCACGCCTTTAATCCCAGCACTTGGGAGGCAGAGGCAGGCGGATTTCTGAGTTTGAGGCCAGTCTGGTCTACAGAGTGATTTCCAGGACAGCCAGGGCTACACAGAGAAACTCTGTCTTGAAAAACAAAAAAACAAAACAAAAAAAAAAACAAAAAGAAAGAAAGGAAGGAAGGAAGGAAGGAAGAGAAGAAAAAACTGAAGGCAGTGGTAGCCCAAGCCTTTAATCCCAGCACTCTGGAGGCAGAGGCAGGGGGATCTCTGTGAGTTTGAAGCCAGCCTGGTCTATAGAGAGAGTTCCAGAATGGCCAGAAACCCTGTCTCAAAAACAACAAAACAATAGGAAAAGATAAAATTAGGATCAGATGTATTATAATGTTTGTTTTGGATAGTACTGCTATTAAAACTACTTTTTTTCTGTAAATTTTTACTGGAAAAAAATTTAAACATTCCATAAAAGGAAACCCTATTCCCCAAAGTAACAGCCTGGACAAAAAGCCCTCAAGAAGAAAACTTTTTAAAAAAATGTGGTAAGGATGCTGAAGTGTAGCTTTCTACAACGCATGGCTTCTGGAGTGGGTAGGGAAAGAGTCAGTTTTCTTTAAGGGTCTGGCTGTTCCCTAGGAGTATGGCCATGCTCCAGTGACTATATAAGCAACACAAATGGACTTCTGCGGGGCGGGTGTTCACAAGGGTGGGAAAAACAGACATGGGAGGACGGGGCAGTGAGTGTGATACGAGTGCATTATGTGAAAATCCCAAATAATATTTTTATATTATGTTGGGGAAAAAATAGTAGTCTAAAATTAGCACAGCAGAGTTCAGTCCCAGAGAAGAGTGAACTAGGTCAAGATTAAAGCTGAATGACCCTGGATGAAGGTCTTCAGTCGCTGGGGGTCTAGAGTACAGGACTAACTGGAAGGAGCAGGTGACTTCTTCAGGGATTTGGTACTGAAGTTGTCTTTAAAACTGGGCCTCTGAGAGTCTGTGGTTGAAGCTTCCCAAGGTCGCAGTAGGTGGCCTGGGAAATGCTTGAAACATTGAAAGCACCTGCATCCATCACCCTATGTAGACGTAGAATTCAGAATCATCTTCACCCTCTAGCACAAGAAGGAGATAATCTGAACCCAGAGATCTGTTCCGTCTCTCACAGGGTGGAAACCAACCAAACACAGCGCGATTACCCGTGCATATGTGCTGACACACTTGAGAAAGAGACATTTAGTTTTCAATAGAGAAATCTTCGTGTGCCTAAGAAGTAATGAAAAAGAGAAGACATTGAAGGCAACACAGAGGGAGGAAGGAGACAAAGACGCTCTGAGAGGCTGAAATAAAGTGAAGAATAGTTTGTAAAGAGAAGAGTGGGCCCGCATTACTTTCCGCGATTCTTGTACCACCACCTAGTTACGCGTCCCTCTTTCCACAGGACTCAGGTTTCCTTCTAGGATCTGAGTCTCCCTGTCTCCTTCCCGGTTGTAGCAGTTTGCCACGCTGGATGATACGGGGCAGATGTTTGCACTTGTTCAGTGCTGGATTTAATATAGTGAAAAGAATACCGTGGTATACGACTGTCTTTCATACCAGCCTCTCTTTCTTTGCAAAGGCTTTTGGACATTTGAGAGGTTATTTTTAATACCCTGTATGGACCAAGAGTGGAGGATGCTGCAGACAGGTGGTCCTCTCTCAGCTCGCGTTTGCTTAGTGCGTCCTTCGCTCCAGAACCACAGATGATGAGTGGTACCCAGGAGTGCTCTCAGTTGAGAGTTCTGAAATAGAACAGTTCAGGGGTCTTCCATGGGAACTACTGATCTCATTTCTGAGCAGTTTGGTCCTTTTAATTCATTGGAGTCTCCTCTAACTGAAAAGTGGGAAGACCGCTAGCCTTCAAAGTGAAGGGGGATGGGTGTCTGCCTTAGAAAGGAACAGTGGGAGGGAAGCCAGCTGACAGCTCCTGGACGTAGCCCCAGGCTGTTTGGGACCTGTGTAGGACCTAGGTTTCAGTGTGGCCAGAACCCCCAGCCCAGAGCTGACAGTGTGCTCTTTACTAGAGCCATCTGGGCACTAGGCAGCCTCAGTGGCACGCCACCTCCATGTGGTTCTCCTCTCAGGCTTGGTGTTCCTCCATTGCCTGGGGCAACAGGCAGAGGGGCAAGCTGGATCTCGCAGGCCAGGGACCTTCAGACACCAGGAGACCCGGGACACACGCGGACCGCCCGGTGGCGCGCGCTTCTCCCCCTCCCCCGCGGCCGGGAGCGAGCCGCCGTGACGTCACGGGCCACCCGCCAGCCCCGCGCTCCACCAAGCAGAGCGCGTGCGGCTGCCGAGCACATGGACCCGCTGGTCAAGCGGGCTCTGGAAGGCCAGGATGAAGAGAAGCTGCGAGCCAGTATGGAACCCAGTACCCCTAGAGCCCCCCGAGTGGATATCCGCGTGGAAAGGATGTTGGCAGCCCGGGTGACCTCGGAGTCACGGCTGGATCCACCCTCCCGTAAGTTCCAAGTTTATCCCCTGGAAACTCTGGAGCCCAGGGATGCACAGTCTGGACAGAGGAAAGCGGCTTTTTGCATTCCCACGAGCGCGTATTATACTTGCACCTTTCCTCATCACTATACTCGAGATTGCCAGAGAGTTTGGGTGTGGGTGAGAAGTGTGGGTGCAAGGGAGATTTCACAGAATAGCCTTACATAGAGGCAATTCTGGATTTATGCACTTGATCAAAAGCCCATTTCCTCATATCTAAAAAAGAGACGCCCCCTGCAATCAGCGCAGATTTGGGGCCGCTGATGTGGTTTGGAGGCCTCATTTACGAAACTGGAAGTCTGAATCTAGTGATGCTCCCTCCATCCTTGGCCAGCCCTCCTCCGAGACACCCCCTCGGGGCAGAAAGGTGATCTCCTAAAACTCCCTGTGTCAGGAAACTTTCTGTGCTTTTGTATTGCATTCCTGTGTTTGTTGAAAGGCCCCACACCTTCATCATTCTTTTTGGATAGGTTGTTGCTTTAACTAGATTGGCCCTTTCTTGGCTAGTATTTTCTGCTGTACCTATGAGTGGTGTGGCAGAGCTGTGCAGACTTCCAGGAAGCGCAGCCATGAAGCTACATGTGCCTATGTGTAGACACATCATGGATTTTCCTCCTAGTTTACTGGCATGCGATAATCTGTTTTTTTGAGCACTTCAGGACATTCTGGAAGCTTAAGAAGGAGAGAAATCACTTGAGAGTATAGGGAGAAGTGAGGTTTCTGTTTCCTTTCTGCTCTTGTGTTTTTAAAGGGCTGTTGTCATTCTGCCTGGAGAAAGCCATGGAGAAGTGTGGTGTGTGTTTGTGTGTGTGTGTGTGTGTGTGTGTGTGTTTGCCTGTCTTGTCTGTCTGTTGGAGAGGGCTAAGGATGCAGGTCTCTGATGAACTGCCTGTGGTAGGATGTTGCAGGCCTGTTTTGCATATGGGCAGTGACAAGTTTGGGCTTGTTCACTTGCACAGTCCTATGGTCATAGCTAGTCCTTCTAAAGCTCTCGCCAGTTGGAAAGCGTTTATGTTTCAATCCTTGGAACTCCAAGTGGGACCTCTTAGAAGATTTAGAAGGCGCCAAGCTGTCAGGAAAGCAGAAACAACACATGGACTCCATGACTGGGAAAAACCTCGTGGTGGCCTGCTCTCCAGTGCTTGGAAGTGTGCTCATTACCTCTTAGAGGTGAGGATGTGCCTTGAGGTTATTTGAGCTTAACTAGGTTCATGATGAATCTGGTGAGACATTAAGGCTGGGTTAGGGCATTGTGGGCTATCGTGCTGGGACCCCCACCCCACTCTGTTAGAGAGTGACTATACGGGACTGCCTTGTTGTTTTGCCTGGTTAAGGGTGGCTGTTTCTTGCTGCTTTACCTATTGAGTGCAGAATTTTGCATAAAACCAGCTTCCCTTGAAAAGTAGAAGAAATCAAATTGGTCTTTTTTTTTTTTTTTTTTTTTGCTTCTCTGATTCCTCCTGATCTGCTTCTGTGACAGCAGTTTACAGAGCTGGAAAGGTTTCTCTTTTCTGTTGTTTCTGATCATCTGTGTTATTTGCTCTCTGAAAGTCTGTCTGCTGAGTTCTTACCATCTCCATGGATCCAATTCTTTTAACATTGAAGGCTGGTAGGCAGCCTGTCTGGTTGCTGAGGCCTCTGTCTGCCATGTCCGGGACCTTCTGTCTGCCTTCCCAGTCTAGCTGCTTTCCTTAGGCACCTCAGCTGCTGCTGATTCTCTTGAACCCCAGTTACCTTTCGCTTCCATTTTGTGCAAGTGGCCCTGAATTTGTTTGTATTAAGGGCAGACGAGCATTTCCCTGGGGATTCTGAGGGTCTTGGATATTTGTTGGGCTCTACTACATACACACACACGCGCACACACACTTGAAAATTCCATAATGAATATGACCTATGCAGCATTGTCATCCCCTCTTTTCCCTGCAACTCCTGATGTGATTGATCCCTAGCCCCCTCAAATCCCTAACTTCTTTTTAAATCACATATAAACAAAATATATAAATATATAGGCTGCTCAGTTCATTTAACATTGCTTGTGTGTGTGTGTTTAGAGCTGACCACTTGGGATTGGATAACCTATCAGGGACTCACCACCGATTCTTCCTTGTTTGGCAGCCATTAGCTCTTCCTTGAGGGGTAAGGCTTTGTGAAGTTCGTCACATTCACCTTGGCATGTAAACTGGTATTGTGTTGGCCCTCGTTCTTTAGAGTGGTAGCTGAAAGCCAGCAAATGGCTATACTTTGATATATTTTAGAAGCCACGTGGCCTTTGCATGCACTGGCTCGTTATTGTGTCTTTCCTCCTCTAGTTGGTTGCAGGTTCTCACATTCTGCATGCTGCTGACACCCACTCCCCTTTTCTCTTTAATATCAGCTTGTGATGTCACTAAGAGACCGGAACTTAACTTCCTGATGTATCTCATGCTTGTGTTGGCATATTGATTTAAAAAGAGGGGCAGAACATAATCTAGAATAGGAATAGCCAGGCTACTGAGGTACTTCCATAGTTACAAGTGCTTTCCAGGCAAGTCTGATGACCTACTGAAACCTATGGTGGAAGAAGAGAACCAAGTCCCCAACACTGTCTTTTGTCCTCTCCAGGCATGATTTGTCATATTCTCTAGCATGCATTCAGGCATGCGCGCGCGCGCGCGCGCGCACACACACACACACACACACACACGCAGGCACACTAGCTTTTGGAGCTAGGTGTGGTGGTTCATGCTTATAATCCAAGCATATGAGAAGCTGAAGCAGGAGGATTACCATGAGTTCAAAGCCAGCCTTAGCTGTAGGCCAGCTTGAACTAATGTGAAGCTTGTCTCAAAACCTAAATATCCGAAAAAGAAACCAACCAGCCAACCAAACAAACAAAAAAATCAGATTAGCCTCAGTAGGATCCTGCTGACAATTATGTCCGTATCTCTTTGACATATATCACTTCTAAGTGTCCTAAAAGGCTGCAAGGTAAATCCTTTGTTCTGCCACCAGAATACAAGTCATGCCTGACCATGTTTAACTTTGGAGATCTGAGCAGATGAGAGATTTGGGGCAATATGGCTGTAGGTCACGTGAGTTCTTTGGTAGGAGCCATGATGACCTGATTTGCTTTTCTGGCGCCAAGTACTGTAAGGAGCAATACTGTAGTCATAATATCTAATAGGGACAAAGGCAGGAACATGACAGTGACTTTCAGCCTCTTCAGCATGCTAAGCTTATTCTTTATATTTGTGTTGTCCACAACTCTGCAGAAATGCTTGAGAAAATGTCCAGCCTTCATGGATTTCTTTTTATGGGTAAGGCTGCATGTGTTGTACCCTCAGCTGGCCTTGAACTGGCATTCTATCTGCCTTGGCCTCTCATGTATTGAAATAATAAGTGTATCCCACTATATTAAGACTGGTTTTAAGTGTTCTAGATACATTATTTCATTTTAGTCTCCCTGCAATCTTATAATATAAGGTTATTATCATCATCAATTTTTAGACCAGGAACACAGCTGAGGGTCAAAGGTATCACCCCAGGCCAGGTAACTAGGCAGCAGCAAAGCCGATGAGATTTAGATCAGAGCTGTGTGGCCATCTTCAGAAGTCAGAAGATAGTGAAGAATAAAGTAAAAGATGGCTTCGTTCCGGCTGCCTGTCTTTGCTGCCACACACAGTGGGCTGAGACAAGACAGAGGTTCAGTGCTAGGAGGGTTCTGGGCTGTAGTCATGGAAAGGGTGAGCTGGGGCTCGGGCAGAAGCCTTGGGTGGGGAGAGGTGGGAAGGTTCGGGCAGAGCCTATGGTCAATTTGCAAATGGCACTATCCAGGCATCCTGCTTGGCCTTGTGACCAAAATCATTCTAACACTGTGAGCGGAATTGAATTACTGTTGACATTAGAACAGAGGGAAGAGCGAGCTCCTTGATAGCACAAACACCTTTCTCTTTTCCTGATGCTTTCTGAGCACCAACTTATCTGCTAGGGATATTCAGGTACTGATGTAGGGACCTTCATCAGCACAAAGATGGTGATGGTTTTCTTTGCACGTTATCATTAAGAAAAAGAAAAAAAAATGCTGGCTAGTTGGTTGGTGTGGTCTTGGAGTCCATGGGTCCCTTCCTTCTATCCTGACTTCCCTCTTCCCCTCCCTCCCTTCTTTCCTTCTCTGCCATTCAGAATCCATCCCAGGGTATCATGGGATGCTAACAAGTCTTCTCCCCTACCCCAGCTACCCTCTTAGCCCACGGCCTTATTAAGTGTCTCTGTGTAGCCCTGGCTATCCTGCGTCTGTATGTAGACCAGATTGGCTTCAAACTAACGAAGATTCACCTGACTTTGCCTCCCAAGTGCTGGATTATCCCAAAGGCATAGGCCACTACGCTCCGCTTCTCTTTTGCCTTTTGAGACAAGGTCTCCTATATTCCCAGGTTGGCTTTGAATTCCCACTCCTTGTTCTCTATCTCCGAAGTGCTGCAATAATCACTGTCACCACATTCGACTCCTCCTCATCTAGAATTCTGTTACTTTGGCTTGTTTGTTTATTGGCTGTTATTTTTCTTTCTTTTTTTTTTCAAAGAGATTTCTTTATTTTTATTTTTATGTATATGAGTGTTTTGTCTGCGTGTATCTATGTACACCACTTGTACCAGGTGCCTGCAGAATTATAGTTCTCAGTTGCCATATGGTTGCTGGGACCTCTGGAAGTGCAGCCAGTGCTCATCACCACCAACTTGTCTCTTCAGCACCAGTTAAGTGTTTTAGAAGCCAAAGCGCTGTATGTGCCGGCTAAGTGAGCTGCAGCCCCAGCAATTGATTGCCTCCTGTTTTGATTGGTGGTGGGTGAGGCGTGGGGTGCTGTTCTAATTACCTACTTCTCTTCCTTCATTGACCTTAAACTTCTTGCAAGTAGGATATCTGGTGTCTACACAGCCCTGGGCCTGTTGGGAACAAGGTTACATGGAAGAACTGCTTCCCTCCTTCCCA